GAAAAGGACCACAGATTGATTGGAGCGTCGACTGATCTTCAGACGGTTCTCCTGTGTCTGCCAGGAAATATCAGAGGCACATATGTTTTAAGAATGTCACGTACCAGCAGCGCGTGCTGCCTTAAAAAAAAAAACACCATAGAGGGACGGATGTCTCAAAAGAATTATGACATCAACAAGATCGCCTCGACATCATCTTTATCTTAATATGAGTTGCATGTCACTCACTACAGTTCTCATTTCATTTAACAATTAGTAGAAGAATAACAAATAACTAGCTACACAGTGTGTGCATTTGAAACTTTAAGGAATTTTTTTGAAGCTTAAATAATGCCTCCATATGTATATTCAACATTTTTTATGCTACAAATTCTGGTTGAAACAGGAACACATCCCCTGATGAATGTCACATGATGGCATTCATCAGAGCCATAAACTAGGTGTAACTCGGGAGTTTTAAATGTGCTGCTTACATTTTATTAGTTTTTGGTCATAATGAGCCACCTTCAGACGAAAGCTGTTCTTTTCCCAAGACAAGTCAGAAGTTGGTGATAAAACCAGTTGGTCTGTGCCAAACCCAGTGCTTGTTGAGGTGGAAACAGAATAAAGCTGGCTTGAAGCAAGGAGGAGGAACTGGTTTGACGAGAAAATCTAAATAAGCTTTTTGAGACAGAGGAACGGAGTGTTAAGAAGTTTAACCCAGATTTGTACTCGTGGTCTCTCATGGATGGAAACTGGCAGAAAAATGTTGTTTTGGATTTGTTTTTCTATCTAAATGAAGGAAAGTGTGATGCCTGGCCGTACTTTTTCATTTGACTTCTGCTTTCCCTTTCTTGGCCTTCAGCCCTCACTTTCTGGGTAATATCAGCTTCCTGTCACTTCCATTCTCCACGTTGAGTATTGATCGTCTAGTCCAATGTCCAAAGTCAAAGTGGATTTGAATTGAGCCCAGGGGGTCTCTTTATTGTCTTGAGGGTTGTGGAGAAAATTAGTTGTAATATTAGAGTGCAGAAATCCTTCAGGCTTGTCAGCAATCAGCTAAATAGCGGCAGCAGCTGCAAAGAAAACTGAAGATTTGATATCAGGCTTCTATGTGTGTGGCTCACAACAACAAACACTGTTGCAACACGTAGCTTTCTGTCGTCTAACAAAAGCATGCTTGTTTTAGCTTACAAGATGGTGTGAGTGTGACTGAACAGAGAACCTTTGTAGGAAACCTCAGTGGATAAACAGCAAACAGTGAAGCTCCTCAAGTTTTGACCCCGGACATGTAGCACCACCTGTGTGGTATTTTTGTTTTCACAATGTTATTTGATGTCAGAACTGCAAAAGGTACATTTTCTTTCCTTTTTTTTATTTTTTATTTTTTTATTTCTTGTGGAAATTTTGTGTTTGTGCTCAAGGCCTGTAGTCATGGTCTCAGAAACAGATCAACACCCTTTCGGACCAAAATCTGAGCGTCTGCTTCTCATCTCCCCGTCTCGGTGCTGAGAGCTGAGCTCAGTGGGGGCAGGTGCAGGGTGACTCTGAGCAAACCCGGTGACTGAAAGCACATGTGAGCTCAGGTGATTGATTTATAAACCAAAAGTCTCCAGAATCCTGTTTTGATTCTGCCGCTCGCAGCATTTCTTAAAGACGTGCTGACAGGCAGAACACATCTAAATCTCCTGTGGAACATTGTGTAAACCAGTCAGTTTGGTGAATTTAATGGCGTTATAGATCATTGCTGTTCCATGGATGCCGATCAGAAACCCTCTTGGAGTCATTGTCCAACAGATCCAGGGGATGTGATAAGGCAGAGTCCTCATGTTAGCACGGGAACGACTGGAAAATGGAAAACAATCAATTTGACTTATGGAAAAATTGATTGCACTTATTATTTCAACATGTGTCTAGAGATGGTTGAGAAATCTGGAGGAATAAGGCAGAAGGAGACGGATTATCTCAAATCTGGGATTGTATTGCACGCTGTCTCTGTTGCCAAGGCTTTGGCGAGAGCTGTGCCCACATTTGCTTTGATCCACCCTTGATCTTTCCTCCTATCGCTGCTGGCACGTTTCTCCTCCTCCTGCCCTCCTGCTCCTCCTCACCAGAACAGTTTCCTCACCTGCAATTGGCTGGACTGGCTCCACCCTGATCTCTGTATCCTCGTGAATTGTTTCCCATGCACAGTTGTTTTCATCCCAGGTTTTTTTTATTTTCAGTTGTTGATGAAAGTAAATTCCTTGCTGGACAAAGTTGTTGGCAGCATTAATGTTTCTCCTGGTTTCAGAAAGAGTCTTTGTTTCAAAAGGTTGTTGTTTTTAGGCCAACTTTGTTTTAATTTTTTCCTGAAACCGATTTTATTAAAATGTCATTCACACAGAGTCCAAAAAACTCTAACAAATTAAGAAATCTGGAGTTAATGTGCAAAACTCTTCAGTCATCCTTCATTTCCTTGTACATTTCATCCAACAGGTCCAACTTTCTTCTATTATCGTGTGTTTCTTAATTTCTGCCTTGCCGTTTGGCTGCTCTTTCTCTAATGTTTAGTCATATAACTCATACTTTTCAAAGGAGTGATTCATTTGCTCTTTAAAGTTTGCTAAAAGCATGTGGAAGTAGCTGCTTTTATCCCACCAAGATTACATTTTTTGGCTAATATTCAGAATCAAAAAGCGGAAATTACACCCTTTTTTAAACAAACCATTCCCGTGATAAAACATGGCGATGGCTGCGGTAATTCTGGTTTGAGTTTACGGTAAGACTGAGGGAGGTAATTACAGACAAATCCTGTAAGGAAACATGTTGAAGGCTGCAAAGCAAGGATTTGGATAGCCAATCACCTTCTAATACAGGGGTGTCAAACTCATTTCTGTTTTGGGCCAAATCAAGATCATGAATGCTCCTAACTGGCTGCTTGTGCCAGAATGCATTGATAAAACCTGTTAAAGTGTTAAAGTATCAATAAATTCTTCAAATTAAGTAGTGTTACTGAACATCTTTTCAGTCCCTCCAGGATTTTTTGTGTTTTTTTTTTTTGTTTGTTTGTGGTACTAATTTAAAAATATTTGTGGTATTTGCGCTTATTAGATGCAACTTTTCATCACTGGCTGTGTAGATCGGTATTATTGACATCAATTAATGCTGAGGCAGCTGTTCAGTACAAGTAAGAAAGTTTTAGACAATTTTTGAGGAAAAATCTGCAATAAACACTCAGGGCAAAACAACATTGTTTTATTTGACCACATAATATTTAAGCTCACTTGGTGTTTTGTCTGGAATCTAGAGGGCAGGATTTGGTCTTGAGTTTGACAAATCTGTTCTAATAGGAAAACAACTCTAAACATCTAGGCAGAACGCAAAGGAATGGATTAGATAAAAGCAAAAAAAGCAGTCAAAGATCAGACTTAAATCCAGCTAAGAAGTAGCCTCCGTCTAACCTGATGAGCTTGGGTTATTTATGTGTAACTATTTTCAAGTGGGCAGCAAAGCGACTGGCAACATTCTGCAAAAGATCTGCAGCTGAAGTTGAAGCAAGCAGTGGTTCTATAAAATACCGACGGTAAAGAACTGAATACTAATTTTTCAGATTTGTATTTACAAAAAAAGTTGATATGGATGTTTAACGGTCCTTCTTTTTCACAATTCAGTTTCTTTATTGGGCAAGTTTTCAGAAAACTTGTGTAAAAGTATTAAGTTAAAAGAAAATCTTCCAAAAGCCTAAAGAAGATATTTTTTTTGGAAACAAAATATGAAAAAAGTAAGCTGAGTAAAACACTTTTACACTCTGCTGTATATTAGGCAAGTAAAAATACTTCAGTATTTTATGAACTTATTTTATCCAAGGAGTGAAACAAAGTCTGTCTGAAGCACAGCATCCTTTTCTCTAGGAGAAATCCAAAAGGGATTTTCGAATGCAGTGGGGACGATGTGCAGCAAATGGCCTGAGCCAGGAGGGACTGGAGGGTGAAGGGTTTGATGCACCTGCTCCACTATGGAGACTTGACCTTATTAAAACGTGTAGCCGCTGGGCTAATGATAGTTCTTACAACAGGATCTGTTGATAAGTCTCTTTCAAGTCCCATAAATGGATGATAAAATCGTATTTGGTGCCTTATTTGAAATCCTCCCGAGCCTTGGCTTTGATTCCTGCTGGAAAAGCAGGTGGTGAGTGTTTTATTTTCATGTTCTTCTTCTCCTCTGCTCTCTCCCACACGTTTTCCATTTCCATATATTTCCCTCTTCAAATGTTTCAGTCTTGTCGTCAAGAGAAAGCCCAAACTGAGACGTGATTTAATTTATGCATCCAGTTGAACTCAGCTTTTTTGACACCCTCAGATTAAAACATAGGCACTTTTTTTTTAAGCTTTAAGAAGAATCCATCGCTCCCCTCAATGTTTAGTTCACAATACAACCAGACTGAAAAGCTGGATTCACGCCATTTCTGTTGGGCGTTGACCTTCATAAAAGTCAGCTCTCTTCCCTTGACAACACTCATCTCAAGAACAGAATTTTAATGCGCCTGATTTTGTTTCGAGAGTCTCAAACGTAATACTTTAATCTACATCACGCTGTTTTTGCCTGACTCTGGAGAGAGTTGCGATGAAATGTTGAATGATGTGTTATTTTTATTGAAGGGTAGTAACTCATTACGCATTCCAGTAAAGTAAACGATGGTCTCAGTTGCTCCTCCAAGAAAGCTTTCATTAAAGTGGCCGGACGGGGGAAACAAAATACTGCAAACCCTAAACAAATTTCAGAGGTTTCAGTCCACTGTCATATTTCCAGTCATACACACTGAACCTCAAAAGAGGTTCAGTGCAGGGGCCAAAAAGTGAAAAATAAATGATCACTTATTGTGAGATATATTATTATGTACACTGTGCATTTTCAGGCATATATAATTTCTTGACCAGCGATCATTCACTGCAACCCCAAAACCTGAGCTTGGTGCCTTTTGTGTTACTCTTCACTTTATTTATCCACTTTTAACTTTCTTTTTTTCTTTTCCTATCAAGGTTATGGAAATCTAGGAACTGGGATCGGTAGGTATTTTTGTTTTATTGAATTAAAACTGATTTGGTGTTTCAAATTACTTACTTTATTAACGGATATCAGAGAAATTAAATGTTGTTTTTAAAAGTATTTCAAATTAAATTATTGACAATGGCTTAATGGTGATTTTTAAATGTCTCGCAGGCGGTTATGGAGGATATGGTGGCGGTACTGGAGGGTTTTACCCGTCACAAAAAGCTGCTGCCAAAGCAGGTACAGTGAGTGATGGGTTGGTGGAAATACGACACGAATGTTGTTTTAGTGGTGGGATCCAGGATTCGAATGGAGTTGAGCTGATTTGCTGTCTGCTGTAATTTACAGTAAAAATTATGTTATTTTTAGACACAGTCCAGAGTAGCTCTCTACATAGGGGTGACATGGGGCAAATCAGAAAGTTGTCTGACTTTGTTTACTTTCTGTGGTTGTCCAGCCAGTGAGAATGAGCGCCCCCTGTGGAGGAAGTCATTGTAATCACATTCCACACAAAGTGTGATTTTTTTTTTTTTAAATAAATTCATCAAAAAATAATCACATTTTTAATATATATTTTTTAAAATTGCAAAATAACTTAGTAACAATATGTTTCTTCATTTGAAATATCTTTTAGGTTACGGCTGAGTAATAAAAACATGGTGTTCTTTTTTGTCTTTGAACTTGCATTAGCTAATGTTGTAGAGCAAACTCCTGTCAGTGGTCCATAAACAAGGGAAATGAGAAAAGTGAGACTAAGTTTGATTTTGTTTTTTTTTTCCTGTAATTATTTGCTCAAAATCAAAGTAGTAAGAATCCAACTCTAATAAAGATATCTTTTTTTTTTAACTCAACAAATATTAAAATTAAAGAATAAAAGTCTTTCATTTATAATGATAGATCAACTAAGTTAAATGTAATTTGTTAAAGTAATACATAACTTTAAGTAAATTATTGGAAAGATAAAATTGGCAGGATGATAACATATTCAATTAAACCTTAGTTGATAAAACTCAATCAAATTGTGCATAAAAATTAAGCAAAATTAGGAGAATGTGATGTTTTCAGGTAGGACCCGCTGGAACAGAAGTGAAACCTGTGATGCACAGGTGCCGCTAAGGACCATGGGAAATAGTTCCCTCTCTCATAATGAGGAAGAATTAATAGAATCCATGAATGGTCTGATGGTATCAAGTCTTTACAATCCTGTTGAAATCACATAAAGCTGACTGCGTGGAATGGAAACTGGGGGTTATTAAACTAAAAGATGAGTGATTGCTGTTGGAGAAAGGCTAAGCATATATTCTGTGATATCATGGCGAAGTAGATTTATAAATACATTCTGACCTCATGGAGTCACATCTTCCAGAGGTGTTGGAAAATGCAGCTTCTCTGTGAACATTTTACAACCAGAAACATCATCTCTCTTTGTCATTCCGAAAGCTTTTGTGTTAGTAAAAGAAAACACCCTGTTCCTTCAGGTTTCCTTGTGAAACATGAGTTAGCAGCACAAATACTTTCCATGTTGACTGCAGTTTTGCTACATGCACTTTCATTTCACTCAAAGTGCAGAGCCCATCTATTCAGTCACCTGCTCAGCGAAGACATGATGAACAGCATTCTACCTGGCCCGTTTGGTTCAGTTTGTGACAGCATTTCCATGACTAACCAGCCGGAAAAACAATAAAGACGACAGACTTTCCACCGGTGATGGTTGCTCTCAATCTGTGATGCAGACAAATGCTCCTGAAGCTCTGGTTGTTTTATGGACAGGTGCAGGAGGCCCCCCGCCACCAGGGGGTCGTTTTCAGCCTGTTGGCAGACTACTGTGCAGCCTCCAGACCTTACTGACTGAAGCCCTCTCAGGCTTTTGATAAATGAACGTGCTTGCATGTTTGGAGAAAGCCAGGGTGTATGTTGTGCATTATTGGAAGTGCAGTATGAAAGCCGTATTTGGCAAGTGTTTACATTTTTATCATACGCTTGCAAACCTTCGACAGTTTGAACCTCCGCAGAGCTGGATCTGACGTTAAAATCTGGAGCGTGTGCATGCACATCATTTGCTTTAAATTAGCCTGACTGATTAGACATGAACTCAGGGGGCCTCAATCATGTCTGGGGCTGCTCCGTGGCAAAGAGCCCGCGCTTAAATATTGGTTGGCAGTGACAAAACATCAGTCCCTGGAATCGGTCTGTTCTGCTTTCATGACACTTAAAATAACAACTCGTTTCTCTGAAACGGCACAGATTAAAAGGCAGATTCCTCGCCAAACTTTTTCTTACCAAATCTCCCAGACCGCATACTTTCAGGCAGTGCGCAACGTCTGTCCGCTTAAGTATTGGGAATTTAAAATGAAAAGAAAAAAAAGATAATTCGGGGAGGGAATGGATTAAACAAATAAACAGCGTGTTTCGTCCTGCTGCAAAGTTCGTGTCGAGCAAAACCTGACAGCTAATTTCCTGTACAAACGAGAAAAGAAATGAGGTCTTTGATGGGGCAAGATGCCAGGGATTCTCCCCGTCTCCTCTGATTGAGATGAAGTCAAACACGAAGCCTTTTGCATTGTCATGGTGACTGGGTTGGCAGAACCAGATTAGATCCGCTCAGCATCCATGATCACTTGGTGAGCTTGATCTCAGGCCCGTCAGAAACATGTACTGAAAAAAATACAATAGCTTCTTATAGAAAAAGTTCATTTATTTCTTTTCACTTGCACAAGATGATACATTTCAAGTTCTTATTCCTGTCAACTACAGCTAATAGTTACTCTATTACTTTCTTTTCAGATGAAAGTAAACTTTACACTTTATCTGGAATCAGTACTTGTTTATAGTAAAAGTTTAGAGCCACAAAGTTTATGTCACCAGTCAGTGATGGTTTGGGGCGCCGTGTCATCTGCTCCTGTTGCTCCGCTCCGTTTCCTGAAATCCACAGTCAACCTGGCCGTCTACCAGGAAACTTTAGAGCACTTCATGCTTCCTTCGTTGTTTTATGGAGACGCTGATTTGGTTTTCAAATAGGACTTGGCATCTACCTTCACTTCCAAAGGGACCAATTTCTGTTTTAACAACCATTATCATGGTGCTTTATTAGCTAATAAAATCACCTGACCTGAACCCCATCCAGAATCGGTGGCTAATTGGAGATGAAAGGCATCCGACCCACTAAAGCAGACGAGCCGAAGGCGGCAATCAAAACAACCTGAGCTTCCTGAACACATCACACATTCCCAGACCGATCAACTCCACGCCACACTTCATTGTTGCTGTAATTCATCCTAAAGGAGAACTGAACTAATGTTGCAACCACACACATTAATATACTTTTCAAGAGGCATGAATAGAAATAATCCATTTTTTAATTTGTCTCATTTATGATTAGGTGCTGGAGCAGGAGTGGGACCTGGAGGTGCTGGAACTGGACCCTCTGTGCCCGGTGGAGGCAAGACATTCACTCCCTGTTTTTATTTATTTTTCCTACATTTAGTCTTTTTTTATAATTACGCAAATGCACAACTGGCCTCATTTCTATTAAATGACAACCAGCCTGAAAAAAAGCATATCTGAACTCAAACCAAAGAGATTTTTCTAATGTAATAAAGCAAAATCTGATGCGAAAAAGTCACAGTTTGGGAGAATAAATCAGTTATAATTGTCCTCATCGCAGCACTTTGACTGTAAATGTGCTGTTTTAACCAGGGCATTTTGTCCCTCCCTGCTTGATGAGCCATGTAACATTTTATGTGATGTTTTTGTTTTATTTTTTTCCAGCACCTGTTATTCCTCAGACAGGCCTTCCAGGAGGAGCTGGTGGTGCAGCAGGGAAGAAAGCTGCCAAAGTGCCAGGTTTTGTAGACTCAACAATAAACTCATGCAGCCGAAGACAGACAGAAAGCAGCTCTGAGCCACATTAAAGACAAATGCTCACTGCATGTGACAGATGTTTGCTGCAGCTGGAAATGTATCCGTAGAGATTCAAATCCCAGCCAAGCGACTGGAAAAAAAAGTTTAAATGGGTTTGACAAATTTCACCGAGATGAGTTACTGTGTAAAACTTTGAAACCTTAATACAGAAAATGTTTGAGCCTCACTGTTTGAGTGGATTGATGCTCAAACTGAAGGGCCACATGTTTTTGACTTATAAAAAGACAATTGGCTTAAAGTAATTTAACAGTACTGTAAGATACCATCACTCATTACTGTTCTCTTTAGATGTTGAATACTGACACCTAGAGGCTTAATTTGTATGTCAAACTCAGGACCATTAAGATTTTTCAAAATGCTTTATCAGCATAATTTCTACTGAAGCAGAGACAAGACACAGGCTTATTGCATCCTGATTCGCCGTATGATGCTGCTCTTTGCTGCAGTCTTTCCTTTATGAATCCCAATTTGCGGGAACTAGAGCGCAGCTGCTGGTCCGCCCCGTCGCCACCCATAAATATTTATGTAAATTAGTATTAATACCAGTAACCATGGCAAAGTCATTGTTTGTAGCAGTATAAATATTTATAATAATAACCATGTACTTTATGTAAAAGGTGCTTTCAGGACACATAATGTCACCTCACAAAAATAAAAATAATACATTTTAAAGAAAAAAAATCCAGATAAAATAAATAAATAAGAGATTGTGCAAGTGCCTGTTTGAACTAAAGCGCGTTCAGCCGGGCAGACAGCATGTCAGAGAGTCATTATCTCTCTCTCTCTCTTTTTTTTTTTTTATAAATCAAGGAAAGAGATAGTCAAGGATCATTAATTAAAGTTTCTCCACTCTGATCAGCTTTTTGGGTGTCATTAAGTGTAGCACGGCTTATTTTATTTGAAATAATTTATTTAAAGAGTTCATACACACCTCTGCTGGAAGAGCGACTAAATGGGGAGAATGATTTTGTTTAATGCTACTTTTAAAAATAAGGCATTCATCACATTTTTTTATGATGATTTGCCTTGTGTGTGCCATTAAATCAGAAACCATTCACAATGAATGAAGAATAAACATAATAATTAACTCAAGACAGAAAATGGTTGCTTTAATTACAGCAAACTGATAAATGACTGCGAGCCGAAGGCGGCAGGGCCACAAAGAGCCACAAAGTTCATGTCAGGGACTTTTGTTTTCTACACATTTTCTGACTGCTTTTATATGTTTGGAAAGTTTCCATGTCTATGAGGCCTTTCATTTCTAACTAACAGACATACTGAATATCTATTTTACATGTCTGTTAGTGGGAAAAGCACATTGTTATTTATGTCTTTGGTTGTCGCAGGTGTGGGTGTCCCTGGACTTTACCAAGGAGGAATTGTACCAGGAACTGGTTTGTTTTCACTCTCAGAAAGTATTTACCACAATCCATGAGATTGTCATGTTTATATGTGTGTTTTCTTTCCTGCAGGGTTTGGTGGCCGTGGAGTTCTGCCTGGGGTCGCGACTGGAACAAACCTAAATCCCAAATCAAGTGAGGTTAAGATTTTGACTCTGTGTTGAGTGATTTTGAATTTTGAAACATGCTGCAATATGAAACACAGTCTTTACAAAATCAACATGATTCACAATCAAATTAAATGCAAAGTATCTTCAGCTTTTGGGAAAAGTAATAATATCTGATTTCTTTATACAGTTGGAGGACAACAGGGGGGCCAAGTCCCAGGTTGATTTTAAATATGCATATTTATATTATTATACAGTTGTTTATACATTGATGTCAGAATTAAAGTACTCCTTCCTTCTCTGTCTCAGGAACCAGGGGGTTTGGTGGGCCAATGCAGCCAGGTGTATTTCATGGCTACCCCCTCAAATCACCCAAAGCGCAAGGTGCTTTTAGATGCTTGCTCCTTTAAAATGAAATATTTTGTTTGGTGTTTACTTGATTTGTAATATTTTCAAGGTTGAGTTTGTTCATATTAAGGAGAAAAATTGAAAAATACAAAAAAATGTTGAACAGTTATGTATGTGTTGCACGACACCTTGCTAAGTTTGAGTCATAAAGTTTATATTTGGTCCTCTAGGGGGCTACGGTGCTAAACCTGGAGGTGGCAAAGTTCCCTATGGTAAAAAAAAATTGTTTTATTATATAATTTTACACAGACTTGATGTCAAATGAAAGTACCCATTAATGATGCATCACATGACAATCATAATGATCTACGATCTAGGTTACGGGGGTTATGGTGTTGGTGGAGCTGGACTTCCAGGAGGAAAAACTGGTCCTGGATCAAAACCTGGTTATCCTGTTGGAACTGGTAAATATTTCAAGAAATTATGAGAGAAATATTTCTTTGAAGATGAACAGCACTACAAAATATATCTTTCTCTTTTTTTTCTGTAGGAGTGGGTCCTGGAGGCATCTTATCTTCTCAATCTAAAGCTGCTAAATATGGTAGGATTTCCTACTTATCATGTTTCAGATTCTTCTTGTCCTTAAAGCAAACAAAACACACATTAAAGAGTGATATGCAGCATGAATGACTGAATCTGTTGTTCTCTTCAGGTGCTGGCGTTGGTGGTGTTGGAGGCGTTGGTGGAGTTGGAGGATTTGGAGGCGTTGGTGGTGTTGGAGGTGTTGGTGGTGTTGGAGGCGTTGGTGGTGTTGGAGGCGTTGGTGGTACTGGTGGACTGTATCCAGGGCAGGTGCCAGGAGGTATTAACATATTGCAACTGAAATAAATACCAACTGATCTTCCTACTCTTTCTGCAAACTCTGATTCATATAAGCTGAAATGTTAAATAGTAGATGATGAGACCAGAAATGAAGTCCTTCAGCTCATATGACACTATTCCTGATCCTTCCATGTATATTGTACCAAAATGCACAAGGTAAAGTTTGTGCAACAACAAATCCTATCATGTGTTATTGGATGTATTTGGGTTGCTTGCATTGATTGGACCATGTTTTTTATAGTGCATGTCTATTGGGATGAAAAGTGTAAAATTCTAAGACTTGTACTGCATAAGGACGGTTGTGCGGTTTATTTTTCTATGTTTACACATTAGCTAACCATCTGGGTATGAAAGTTCAAAACCCTATCAACCTTTCCCTGTTCCAAAAGGTGAATTATTAATTCATATCTGAATGAATTTGATTCTTTATCAGTGCATTCTACAGTATAAAAGTGAAGGTAATGTTATGCTTTGAGTCTTTGCTGTGACATTTGAGTAGCACCGTATTGCGATACAGTAATGGTTTTTGTTTTTGTTATACTTCCATCTCAACATTGTCACCTTCCACAGTATGACGTTGCTGTGGATGCTGCACATTTGTGCCACTGGTTCAGCATTCATACAAGTGCTACTTGGACATTAGCGAGATAACCCAATAATATTGTAACTTATTCTTTGGCTATTCTATGCATATGCTCTGTCTTCACTGATGAAGATTCCCCCCATACATTTCAACATTCCTAATGCTTGAAGAGTCTGTATTCTGCTAAATACTTAAATTTACACGTCACTCATCTCCACATGTTTTATTGACAGGATATGGACCTGGGTCCAAGGCTGCTAAATATGGTGAGAACTCTCAGGTGTCTTTCTTATTTGGTGAATTAAAATGAATGAAAATTCTGCCTATTTGTTTTATTGACATGCAATTAATTATATATGTTGCATGACTTTGTATTCTTGTGTTTATGATGTAAAGCACTTTGAAATGCCTTGCTGAAATGTGCTATACAAATAAAATTTGATTGATTTGATTGATATATTGACAAAAATAGAATTTACTAATCAAATATTGTCGTGCACATTGCTTTTTCAAAATGTTATGCTGAAATTAGGTTTTTCCATAACTGTTTCCTGTACCAAAGACCAAGGATGATTAGCAAAGATGTAGGGAATGATAAATATGCTGAATATGGAGCAATATTTAATGTACCAATTGTCATAATTTAAATTATTTTACCTAACTTAATTTTAGGACAAGTTGGTAGATATTATTTCATAGCTGGAAGTAGAGAATCTATACAAAGCATACCAACATTCAGCCATTCTAGCAAAGACCAGACAAGAATTAATTAATTTCTAAAAGCTTTCTACTAAACTTGCAAAACAAGATAAGTATGTCTAAATACACAGTTTCTAGTAACAGCATCTGGCTCATTAATATAATAATACAATTTAATAATGGTAGAAGCACAATCAGTAAAATGAAATGTTCTCCTTAGCTAATTTTTATGTTATGACTAAAGATTTCTGCTAATCTTATTTGCAGAAACGATGAAAAGTCTAAATAAAGTCATAATTCAGAGTGTCCATATTGCTACAAGGAGTACCGGGAGGAGTACCAGGAGGAGTACCAGGAGGAGTCCCAGGAGGAGTACCAGGAGGAGTACCAGGAGGTGCACCAATTGGAGTTCCAGGGGGAGGTGGATACCTCCAACCAGGAAAAGCTGCCAAATATGGTAATTTGTTTTAATATGCTAATTTAAAATCTCGATCTTGAGGAGATTGAGGTATTGAAGGAGGCGTTTAAGTCTCTTGAGTTCAAATATCGAAGACAACAATCAGTACAAATGTGAAATATCTCAGATTTGAATCCCAGCTGGAATCCTCTTGATTACTCCACTGGGTTTGCCGCTCATTCATCTTTGGAGGCACCAACATCCAGTTATACTTTCTGAAATTTGTTTACGCAAGAATATCTACAATCAGTTTTTATAGTTTTGCTTCAATCTCAGAGCCAAATATAGCCCACTAATTTATTTATTACAAATGAAATAGAAATCTGCAACATCTGTCGATCTGAAATGCATGCAGCATGTATTCCTCTGCTGATTAAAGATCAGGTCCGAAACAGTTCTGAGCTAATTCTCGTCAGTTTTTTGAGGAAATGCTTACTTAACCTGATTTTGTTTTTTGTTTTTTTGTGAAATATGAAGCAGTATTCTTTAATCATAGAAAGTACCTTGCTTTCCCCAGAAAACGCCTCTGTGAACATTTTATGTTCAGAAGAAATCTAACTGTTGCTTTATCCATGCCTCGCTCTCAATCTCATGGCTTTGTCTTTGTTTTAAAGTTTAAAGACGGCCTGTTTTACTGCATCAGAAAAAGGCCTAGCCAAAGACACCGGGTCTTGTAATAAATGTTAGTTTTGTTTGGAGTTTTCAACCAATGACTATAATATTTTTAGATAATTGTTAATATTTTAAACATCCTCTTCCAGTTAGGTTTTAAAAGCCTTAAAGCAGAGTTAGCATTTTGACCATTTAATTCATATATTTCAATGTCGGTCTCTGTGCAACTGAAAAAGTGCAAACATATAAATGTCTGAGCTTAGTTCTATGTAGATCTTGAATGCAATGACTGCTTCTTGCCCATCTTACTTTACAGTAATTAAAGTTGCTTAATTTAACCTTTCAACTAATCATTTTTATCTGCAGATAAAAAGTTGTAAAAGAGTCAATTGGGTTATTTTTACAGGCCCATTCTTAGCTACTTCTTACAGCCAGTCGTGAATATATCATCCTAATACTGTTTATACTTTTAAAAATTTATTTTAAAATACAAAACCTTTGAAAAGGAAGGTATGTGATATTCTTCTACTCTTTTGAAATATAAGAGCTAGATGTTTTCTGATTTCAGAAGTTTTTTAATCTACTCTTTTCAAAGTAAATAAAGCTGCTCCTTCAAGTTTCATCCCAGTGCCAGAGTGGTTGTCTAAACTCATGTCATGACTCCCTTATCCTGCTCTATGGTGAACTGCATCAATGAGAACATATGTGTGTGTGAAGGGGTGGATGAGAAACAGATTCCTGTTAAAAGCCACACATATGCAGATAATTTATATTTCACTTTGTTGGCGCTTTTTTAATGATGGGGATCAGTTGTGTTAATGAATAAATTTGTCTGCAGGACTAGGTGGAGTCGGAGGAACAGGAGTAGCAGGAATAGGAGGAGTGGGAGGTGGAGGATACTCTCCTGCTTCCAAGGCTGCTAAGTATGGTAAGTGAAATAAAATAAATATAAATTATGACTGTAAAAAGTCTGTTTTTAAATTGCTTCTTTTGTGTGTGGGTTTTTTAGGTGTTGTCCCAAGAGTTGGCGGAGGAGTTGGTGGTGCAGGCATTCCTGGAACACAGTTTCTACCTGGATATGGATGTAAACTAACAGATTTGTGATTTCCCTTAGCTGTAAAGCAACTCTTTAATTTGTTAGAAGTTAGAGAAACTCGGCTCATCTTTTAATTCCACCACGTTTGTTCTGTTTCTGGTGCAGCTTTGTCAGCCGGTGCCAAACCTCCAAAATACGGTGAGATCAGAGTTTCATCAAATCTCACGTTAAATGCATTTAGAAACGTTATTTGGGTAATAAATATAAAACTGAATCTTGCATTTGTTCCAATTAACAGCTCCTCAAACAGGCCTTGGAGGAGTAGGAGTCCCTGGCGGAGGAGGACAGGTGCTGCCCAGCGGTGGCTATGGTGGTACGTTAGAGATCAAATAAATAAAAATATAATGTGACTCTTCATGTTATAAGGTCTATCCTAATAAACTCAAATACCTCTGCAGGTTATGGAGGCGGTGCAGGGGTCAAACCTCCAAAGTATGGTAAGACGTTATAATTTTTTTTTATTGGTTTAGATGACTATTTTAAAAAATGATGCTAGTGATTCATATTTTTCCATAATTTGGAGCTGTTAGGGTTAGGGTTAGAACCAAAAGCAGTGAAAAAGTTTAAAACATAGCGAGACAATCAGTAAGAAAAAAGATTAGCTGGAACTGCTGGAAAAGTTGCAGGAAAAAGAAGCAGAATAGTTTATTCTCGTGTCAAAAAAAAAAAGATTAAAATATAGTTGTCAGGCATTAATACAGCTTGTTGTTTTGTTTTGTTAATGAAATCTTCAAACCTCAGTCTCTGTTCACCTTAAACAGGAGTTCCAGGAGGAGTTGGAACAGGATATGGAGGACTGGGAGGACTGGGAGGAGCAGGAGGAGGGCCTTTTGTCCCAGCAGGGGGACAATACTCTGCAGCAGCCAAAGCTGCCAAATACGGTAGAAATAATGAGCATACATGGAAATTTTAAATGAAATAAAACTGATTTTCACCGAACCCTAAATGCTTATATTTTACGCTCATGACTGTAGCCTTATGATGCCGTACGGCTTGTTTCCATGATCTAGGAGTTGCAACAGGAGGTGCTGGAACAGGAGTGGGAGCATTAGGAGCCCAAACAGCCGGACAATATTCTGCAGCAGCCAAAGCAGCTAAATACGGTAAACACATATTAAGTACTACCTCCTAAAAGTATAGTTTTTTGGTACATATCACTGGTTATGAGGTATGTGTAGTTTTTCACCAAAGATTGTGTTTTAATATTTGTATTTGCATGAAACTGTAAAAGGCTCCTCTAGATAACGTCTGAGTTTAACTGCAATAATCATTATAGTACTTTGTAGTAGTTATACTTGTTAGACTTTACAGATTTTGTCATTTAAGGGAGGTTTTAGGTCACTGATAGTACCTGCTCATAATTAATTCTAATTGTGACTTTAAATCAGGAGTTACAGGTGGTGCTGGGACAGGACTGGGAACAGGAGGACTGGGAACAGGAGGCCTGGGGACAGGAGGCCTGGGAACAGGAGGCCTGGGAGGAGTACAAGGAGGTGGACAGTACTCTGCTGCTGCAAAAGCTGCTAAATACGGTATAAATAATGAACACGCATGATCAATCTCAAGAATAGAGTTGTTAACAAATTGAATGTTTCTTGGGGCACATATGGCATTGTGGAGGTTTTCCAGTCTGGTTGCAATAAAACAATACTGCTAAGAGTTTATAATGATATTTGTTTAGCAAATAACTCAAAGATCTGTGATTTTTGTACTTTGAGATCTCACTGCAGTATTTGATGCAGTGGGCCATTGTATTTCTATCCCTCAGTAGAAGCACTGGATAGACTTTGTTCCTCTTTGAGGGACAGAACAATTTGTTGGCTCCTTACTCTCCACCTTGGCCCCTTCTTTCCTGTAGACTTCTACAAGGCACAACTACTGGTCCTCCTCTTGTCTTTCTAATTTTTCTTTGATATACCTGCTCCCTTTGGGCTCTATTTTTAGAAAACATGACATCTCCTATTTCAGAGACCAAAGAGTTCAGAGTTTGATTTCACATTAACACCTCCCCAAACAAACTGCATTCTCTGGGCAACCGAACTAGAGTTGGATTAAAACAGACAAAACAGGACTGGTGTGGATGCACCCTGAGATTCAAACGACAGTTTTTATGTGGTTATCCAGTCTGACAATAAGGCTGAAAACGTATCACGACATAAGCATTTCATATCAATTGATATCAATAATTATTGATCCGCTTTTTGTTTTAAATATCTTAAATTCTGTCGATCTGGTGAACTTACCTTTCCTCCTTTATCCCCTATTTCTTCTCAAGCTGTTGTAATCATTTTCTCTCTTCACTCCACGCCATTGTTTTTTACAATTTTTAAGCAGTTATGAACTGCTGCTGTGCAGGTTGTTTCTAAGTAACCAAGGAGTGAGTGAGTGAACCTAGCTTAGCTGACGGCGAGAAGTTGAGTAAGCTTAAAGCCTTTCTTCTGCCTACATCCCCCAGAATGCTTTGTGGTTCTGGATCAGAGTTGATATTGATCACATGTTGTTATCGATGTATCGGGCAGTCCTATGTTCACTTACTCATTTGTTCATTAAATGTAGAGAAAATAAAGTGAAAACTTGCTTATGTTACAGGTGGTGCTGGGACTGGACTGGTACCAGGAGTAGGAGGAGGAGCAGGACTGGTACCAGGAGTAGGAGGAGTGCCAGGAGGTGGACAATACTCTGCTGCTGCAAAAGCTGCTAAATATGGTGCGACTAGTATGCACAAAAATGCAAACAGAAAAGTCTGGGATGTTTCTTTAATAAGTAAAGCAACTCTAACTGAATGCAGTTATCATACATCTGTTTTAAGTTTTTCCAATTACAGACTTATGCATTAAATTTCTGTAAAATTTGCTGACTACCTATTTGTATTTTGAATCTGGACTTGTTCCAGGTGGTGCTGGAACAGGACTGGTACCAGGAGGAGGGACAGGACTGGTACCAGGAGGAGTAGGAGGAGCACAAGGAGGTGAGCAATGTCCTCAGCTGCAAAAACTGCTCAATTGTTGTACAACTACTATGCACAAAACTGCAAATACTGAAACGTTTGGGATATTTCTGTATGAGTAAGGCAAATCTGATTGACTGCAATAATCAGTACACATTTGTTTTCATTTTATCCAGTTACATATTTACTAGTTCAGAGAAACAAGCTGCTAGCAGCGATGCTAGTTCATGGTCATTCTGTTACAAAATGTACCGATCGTCGCTACCCGTGATTAAACTTACAATCACGATCCTCTGTACTGAACGGCTCTCTGACAGCATGTGGCCTGTCCGTAAACAAGTTTTACTAAATATTGTACAATAACTGAAAAGAGAGATGTAACTTCTATCATGAATGTAGATGAACAAAAAATCCTACAAATTACAATGAAATACTACTACTTCCGGTGGGTGCCGGAAGTAAGACCTGTAATTGTTTCCACAGTGAGTCTCCCAGGAATAAGGTGGATAAGGGAGACCAGTTGAAATTCAGAGCCAATAAAACAGCACAGAATCTCACATACACAGAATTAAGAAAGTGTCGTTTTTGGTAACCTTTGTGCTTCGTGCATCAGGTGTCGGACCTGGTGTGACTCCCGACACGTCCGGCAGCGGCATTGCAAATGGCTCCGTGTCAGCCGTGAAACCAGGTGATACTTTAAATCCAGTTTCTGTCATCACTGAAAGACACGGTTCAAACATCATGGAACTGGAGATGATGCTTTCGTGGTTTTTTACAGGGAAGGAAGTAGGTGTTGGTGGAACTCCTCAGCCAGGTAGATCAAGTATTAAACTCTTCCATGAGCATTAGCTGCACAAACTCGCACACGTAAGCTTCAGTAACTGCTGTATCCCACCACCCCTGCACATAAAACTCATACATTGTTGATACTGCTAACGCTGGCAGCTAATGACCTCCTCCAGCTCACAGGCACCAGCTGTGGCAGTGTTAGGATCCACTTCACAGCTTCTACCTTTTCTGGCCTTTCTCATGCACTGGATGAATCTGGAACCTGTTGTCTTTTTGGCAGGGCCCACTCCTATCGCTGCACTTAATAAGGCCCCAGAGGTCCCACAGCCCAGTAAGACCTGCTGCTTGCCTTAAGCCTCTCACTAAACTGTGCAATGTGGCTTATTTATTTTTTCAGCAGATGTTGAATGTTTCATCCTTGTCAGTATATGTGAATGTAAATGTTTCACAGATGAGCACCACTTCTCTTCCTGCACTGACAGCATGTATGGGAATGTTGTTAATGGTTTACAATTTAAGCCAGATATTTATAGTTTTTATTCATTTATTTAGTGTTTGACATAAAATCAGAACAAATCTTTTCTGTTATAGGTCACAAAAATTATTTTAAGAATTATGCCAGAATAAGAGGAAAGTTCACTTTATTAAAAATAAAGAAGCCAAATTTTAAGCTCCCTTTCAACTCCCCCACTCAGTTCCTTCAAACTAGCCAATAGCAATTAGCAAACACCTGACGGAGTTACACTGCAGCTGAGCTTATTATAGCAGCTATTTGTCAGTGAAACGTTGGTAAAAAGAGAAACTTTTTTAATTGTATATATTGAATTATCAGGGTACTTAATGCAGTAATGTGTACATAAGGAAGAGGGAGTTTTTTCTGTTACTTCTGAACAGTATGGTCTATTTGTGTCTGCACTTTTCCTTTTGATAACTTCTCTTTGCTCTTTCTCACTGACATTTCACTTTGCTTCACTGGTTAGCTTTCAAAGTTCAAACTGTCTACATGTTTTTTAAACTCAGAGTCACAGAGAGGGTTATGTCCCCTTAATTTCATTTGTTTGTCTATAGTTGTGTCAATGCGCTCTTGACTCTGTGATTATTTCGCCTCAGTGTTCAAATTCAGATGAATTTAAACCTAATGTTTATCATTAGGTTTTAAATGAGACACTGTTTATGCACTGTAAATCCTCCTATAATTTTAAAAAGTGTGTTTTGATAAACTTTGTTCTTTCTTTTTGCTCCATCTTGTGGTGGCTTCATGAAAACAGGCGGTAGGTTCAACATATTTATTTGAGTTAATTTGCCTTTTTACTTTATCATATGACTCCACCTTTAAAAGTAAAAATTTCAACTTTGACAGTCGCAGGTGGAATCATACAGCTTAGCGGTAAGTGCTATTTAAAGAGATTTTGAATGACTTTACTTCTAGGCAAACATTTTACTTTACAAACTGTCTGCTGCTTGTGTATTTCTGTTACATGTTGTGTGTGTGTGTGTGTGTGTGTGTGTGTGTGTGTGTGTTGTGTGTGTGTGTGTGTGTGTGTGTGTGTGTGTGTGTGTGGTGTGTGGTGTGTGTGTGTGTGTGTGTGTTTCTAATTCACCGCATATTTATTTTTAAGATAAAGGCATTATTTTAACCTGACATTAGTTGCGTGCTTCGTATTAATTTATTTCAACCTCGCTTTTCCTTTTAGTTGGCACAACTGGTGGACAAGTTCAACCCGGTAAGTTGAGAGGTGACATTAAATCTATGACCACCAGGGGGAGACAGAGACAGCGTTGTAACTCTGTTGTTTTTCAGGTGCTGGAGTCAAACCACCAAAGCCATATGCACCAGGTAAAGACGAGCTCAGCAGTTTTACTGGATTATGATTATAAAGTAGAAGCAGCATAATTTCCCTGCAGGTGTGTTAATTCATGTTATGTAGAACCAAACAATGTCCACTAGTCTTTTATTCATTGATAATGAGCCAGCAGAAATATACACTATCTGTTGCAGTGTTCGTGTTAAAACTTTAGCTTGATATCATTTCAGTAACAAAACATTCTTATCAGGTGATCAATACACACTTTTAGCTATTCCTCTTTCACATGCAGGGTGCATTACTCTGAGCAAGCAGGTCCTGTCTAGACAACAAATGACCCAAACTGAATCAATAAAAGCAGTTTGTGTAAGAGGAAAAGCTGCATCAGGTCTTTTTCAGTCCAATCAGACCTCCACCGGACTCAACACTCGTTAGATTTTAATTGCACGTGCAGCTTTACAGTTTTGGAAAGGTTGTTGCTTTTTTTTTTTTTTTTTTTTGCTGTGTTGTCTAGTTTAAATGCTAGTGTAATAAAAAAGAACAGTATTAAACTAGAAAATGTCTGAAGAAATTTAACCGGGGCTTGCCAAAGTGCGCTCGTCGGTTGGAACGCAGCGTTTCTGAGGCTAAAAATTAGCATCAATGCTAAAGTAAGCTGCAATGTACTCAGTAGCATGTGAAGAGTCACAAGCATGTTGAGCAACACGGACTTACTGTCATTGGTGGTGAATATATTATGAAACAGACATTCAACGCAAATGTAAAAAATCCGATTTATACTTTGTTGCAGTTCCTTACCAGAAAAAATGTTCATCTCTTAAAACCAAATTAATTTTTTATTTTTTTTACAAAATATAATATCTTCTGAAATACTGCTTATCTGCTTAGACACAAGAAATTCACAGGTGGTAAATTTTCCATAAGTAAAAATCAGACGTTTACTTCGTGGCACTTGGTTACCAGAAAAAACGTTGGTCTCTTAGCAACAAATTACCAATAGATATTGTTATTGTTCAAAAACATCGGATTTCTTCTGCTCTTTTGAAATATTACTTGTACTGAAGAAGAATTGTGCAGTCTGTGAATTTTTCAGAAAAGTGAAAATGTAAATTTTTTTCCTGTCATTGTTGATCAATATATTATAAAACAAACAATCAACGTAAAATTCTGATTTATTCTTCGTGGCAATTCGTTACTAGAATAAAATGCTTAACTCCAAATTAATAAGGAGCAATAATATTGTGTATAAAACATAAGCTCTTTTGAAATACTGCTTATCTGCCTATACAAAAGATAAATGTCTCTTAGCAATAGATTAACAACAAACATGGTTATTGTTCAAAAACATAAGATTTCCCCTGCTCTCTTGAATACTGCTTAACTTACAGTACTTAATAATTAACAAGAATTGAGCAGTTGGTGGATTTTTTTAGAAAAGAGGCAGACAAAACTCTGTCTCTGATTTGAGCCTAACTGACACAAAACAGTGTCAGAATTTGTTTTGATTTGAATTTGTCTCGTTGTTTTTTTTTTGCTAATTGTTTCATTGAAATGCCAACAGAAGTAATAGCCCGTATGCCGAGATCCAGCCGCATGTTTTGATATATAAATTGTTGGGCGTAGACGGCGCGGTACGAGTGAAAGGAAGTGGCAGTTATTTTGATGTGTAGAGTAATAGGTGCCTTGCATGCATTTCAATGCTCTGGAAGCCCCCAATTAAAAGAACTTCATGCCACATTAAGATAAGAAGTCCTAACCTGTCATGCGCCTTTGTTATGGCAGCCAAGCTTTTTAAGATCAGTTTTAAGGCTTCAGCAATAGAAAAGTCCCAATGTTCGACTTAATAAGTCAGAGGATATGGCTTAAATGTATATATTCTATTATTTATCTAACAGGACAATTCATACAGTTCTTTGCTGAGCAACATTTTGTAATCAAGCTTGATCTTCATTAGGAGCACCGTCTCCTGTTTTCTATTACTGTCAGTAAATCCTCCAATCCTCAGAAAAACAAAACAAAAAAACCCATCATATTGTAAACTGAAGTGAATAAATAGAATGAAGCAAAATAGTAAAGTGTGTAAAATAAACAACAACAACAACAAAAGAGACATCATTTAAATACAACTTTACAAATAATGATGACAAAATTGATACTAAATTCCACATGTGTTCAATATTTGTTTTCACTTTTTAAGCTTGGAAAGAAAACATTAAACTGATACTATTTTAATAGTGTGTTGTTTATATTGTTTTTCATATGAACATAATGAACTGAATGAAGAGTGCAATGGTTTTTACATAAATTAAGCCAATAATGAACACATACAGTCTGAGACCTACGGTGACGTCTTCACTGTTGTTCTCTGCAGTTCCAGGTGCCGGTGGATATGGGTATCCGTATGGAGGTAAGTTTCTTAATGCTGCTTGTTAGACATTCATTGATGTGATGGAAGCTACAACATTATTTCTGTAATCTTTGTGTTAGTTCCTTACAGTACTGGTACCGGTACGGGTATCGGCGCCGTCCCTGGGCAAGGAGCAGGAACGGGAGTGAAATATCCAGGTAAAGATATTTTTTTTTCTCTTCAGACAATTCATCAAACTGATTCCCAAAGTGGTGTAAAAGGTTTTCACATTTCTCATGCAATAACCACCTCATGATAATTCATAAAGCACATTTGCCTTGCTGTCCTGTGGCCTCATGGATCTCTGTGGTGTGTTTTGCAGTTGCAGGAGGAAGAGTAGGAATCCCTCTGGCTGCAGGAGGCTACCAAAGTCAGTGCTCGTCGACCTGTCTTTTTGCATTTCTATAAACTCTTATGATTTATGAAAAACAAGAATTTATTAGAAACATTTTTGTTTAGCATACCCACATGACATAAATGGATACGGGGGAAACCAGGAGGTCACAAATGCTTTGTAAAAAAAAAAAGCCTTCAATGTTTTCTGTTAGTTTGTTTCCCTATGTGACCAAACTTGTTTTAGGATGCCAGAGTCATGTGAATTCAAAAGCGTGCACATTTAGGAAAAGGTCAAATGATGGGTCATGGATTTTCATGTTTCTGATCATTTTTTCATTTGAGTTAAATGTGGATGTATTTCAAGTGTAAAACCTCAAACACACTCATTCCTGGTGTGACATCATTGAAAAATGAAAAGGAATCTGTCAAGAAGTCAGAGATGATTGTGGCCATTTGCAAGTCTCTTCAGATGCCTGAAGGTGCCATATTTGTCTGTTTATTATTTGAAATTATGAACAGCAAAGTAATATCCAGTCATCATACTATTCAGGGAGGAGACAGGTTCTGTGTTCACCAGATACGCCAGTTGCACCAGTTTTTGGTGCAAACTGAGCATCTGACTAAAAGGAAATGCACAAATTACTCTAAAAGCAATATTAAAGTCAGAAAATAATCTGGAAATAAACTGAGGAAGAAATACCTTAGTTTGTGGAGAGATTTTCTGTCGTCTGATGAAGCTAAAATTAAAGTTTTTGGTTATAATGACTGTTGTTACAGGCATCCTGTATGTTTTGTAGCAGGAGAAACTAGGTAAATGTATTTTTATGCAGACTATGTCAATATCTGTTTTCAACTGAACAAAGAGTTTGCGCTTCTTCAATATTTGGACGGGTTAGCGTCATACGGTCAAGATTAAAAACAGTGTTGATATATAAGGAAAGGAGCATGAAGAGCAAAGTAACACACAGTTTTCCCCTGACAACACAATCGTCCGGCCCAGCGCTCAAAGTGACAGTTGGTCAGGACGTGCCATCACATCACATTTCCTGTGCAGGAAATCGGCCAAAACCCTGATAAGTGACGAATAAGAAACTGCTTTGATGGTGTTTCAGAGCAGAAAGTATTTACAGCTTTTTCTTTTCCTTCTGCATTTGTTTCTGCATTGTTTGTTTCTTTGATAGCCTGTAAAGCAGTCATTTCTCGTCTCTGCTGACCCCTGTCTTTCTTCGCCCCTCTGCAGTTGGACAGGGTGGAGCCGGTGGTGGAGTCAAACCACCCAAACATGGTAAAATACCAGCTCTCACTCTGTTGCAGCAAACCCTAATTTATCCTGGCTCCCCTCTAAACTACAGTGGAATATTCTTGCTCGTATAATCCCAACACAAGAAGAAACAACAGTTATTTACCTTGAAAAGTCTGGAGAATCCAGCTCCGCCAAAAACAGGAATCCCAGGAGAGTTCCTGTTCCTGCACCACTAGGAGTTTGCAAATGGAGCAGACTGGTGATTGTTGGTAATCCTGAAGATAACATCGCAGTTAGGCGCTGTGGTGGAGCCCTTCCCAGAAAAAAAGCTCAAATCTGTTTTGAGAAATTCTTATATGACCTGAAATGAACTGTTGTCTTGCCAGAAAGAAGAGACAAAATAATATCTATTAAAATAAAACGCTTTGGCAACAAAAACAGCCTAGCATTTGCTCTTTTGTGCTATTTTTGATCAGGTTATGGTAACCTTGGAGGAGGAGGAGGATTATATCAGCCAGGTGAGAGTCACATTATGTTTCTCTATCTTACTTTAAAACTCTAAATACAGAAACAGGCAAACAAATGTTTTCATTTTATCCAGTTGCACATGTCAAATTAAAGAGTCCAAGCCTCTAAATCTGCCTGAACCTGGAGTTGCAGGTGGTGCTGGGACAGGACTGGGACCTGGAGGAGCAGCAGTCGCACAAGGAGGTGGACAATACTCTGCTGCTGCAAAAGCTGCTAAATACGGTAAAAAATAAAAAACACACAGGTGCATGGTTAAAGAAGAAAGAAATGCAAGACTTTTTTTATAGGGCACGTGTTGAAATGTCATTTTTATGTCATTAAAGTATGTTGAGGTTGGTTTTTAAATGTGGGGAGAGCTGTAAAGTCATGTACAGTTTTTCAGTGTCCTTTGTGTTCATTAGGTGTTCAATCAGGAGTTGGACCAGGAGGAGTTCAAACAGGTACACAATGTTCACTCTGTTATGTGAAGCAGCTTCCCTAACTTGCTCTTACATGCTGGAGATGCTTTCCAGAGACCTGAAAAATATTTATTTTCCTTAAATGTTTTTTGGAATAATGTGGCAGACCAACAGGTGGAAACAATATGCGTGGTTTTCAAAATATTCTGTACTTGATTAAATACTTTATCAAACCACATGTTAATCCCACTGCAGCTGCAAGTCTTTGAAATGACTTTGGTCTAAATCTAATCCATGCCGTTGTAATTCAGACTGTATGTTCAGGGGTTTGTCAGACTGGAAGGTGAATGTTTTTTCACTGCATCCAGCAGGTTTTTGTTTAACTCTGTGTGATCAGCTTCCCTTATCTCCACGTCAGAAAAACATGCCAAGAGCAGAAACTGATCTGGCCTGAGCACCTATTTCCCATTTGCTATGTCTCCTGTATGCTTTGATGAAAACTACAACCAGAATATCTTTTTGGTTTCTTTTAACAATTACTCTCTTCTCGCCACTCTGCCATCACAGCTTTTGTGGCAAACGTGACTAATAGTCGTCTCTGACTGGTTTCCCCGCTTGCTTGGTCTGCCAGTTTAGGAGGAAGGCCTTAATTTGACACGTTGGCAGTTTTGGTAAACTGTTTCACTCACTCCTAATTGGTTGTGCTTGGCTTTATTTTGCTGTGTCAGAGTAAAATGGGATGAAAACCAATGACTGCCATAAACGTAAAGTTTAGCTTGTAAAAGAAATTTGGGAACCAATGTATTCTTCCTCCTTCCACGTCACAATCAGTCATTACTTTATCACATAAAGACCTAGTGAAGTACATTCCAGTTTGTGAGTTTAATGTGACAAAACATGAATGCGATACATTCTTCTGAAAGGCGGTGTGGTTTTCTCCACCGGTGATGAATGAGTGTAATCACACAGCTGCAGCCGGCAGCACAGACTCTGTACAGGCTCATCACAAATAGATACGTGTCTAATCTCTCTCCCAGAGGTCAGAGGCATGTTTGGCTGTGCTGCAGATGGTGAGAAAAAAAAATCTAATAAAAAATTAGGAAGCTGCCCAATTTAAGCAGGAGAGACATTTTTCAAATTCAGAAAATAAAGAAAATGAGGTCAAGCTGTGTTGTATTCTGCTGATAGTTGCTGTTTGTATTTATTTATTTATGTTATCTGGTTGAACATAATGCCACCAGTAACTGCTTTTTAAATTACAGGTGTGGTTCCTGGTTATGGTGGAGGATACCCTCAGCAGTTCTCCCCAGGTACTTATCTGCCTTCTTGTTACATTTTCTTTATGCTTATAAGTCAGTGATGAACGTTATGTAACATGCTGAATATTTGTATTTTTGATAGAAATGACCTGCGCCATAAATAAGTAGAGATAATATCGTAATTAGCTGAATATTGAGAGAGACAACGCATGAAAACAAGGGCTTGTGTTCACTATTGCAGTCTGAAGCTGCATTCAGGCAGACGTATATTAATATTTCTCTCATTTAACACAGGAAGAAGAAACCACAAGTTTAAAATATTTACTAGGGTTCATATATTAATAAAATTCCATTTATTTCTCTCCCGTTATGTTTTTTTTAATTTTTACTAATTTCTATTCCAGATTTACCAGGTTTATAGTTTGACCTGTCCATGTGAGACACATTGATGAAGTCTGCTGTATTATGTAGTTCAGCTCTGTAATATAATGTCAAATAAAAAGATATTTAATCTTGTGACAGTTAATGAGATTATTTGTTTTTCGTGCCTCAATTTTAACTTAAATTTGAGCTGTTTTGGATTCATAAAGGTTATCCTATTCAAAACCCACTGGATGGTTTATTTGTGTTTTATGTTCATAAAGAACCAAATTACTTTAGAAACAAAATTAAATGACACTCTTAACTGCAAGATATTTGCATAGTTATGTTTTATGGAGCAAGTTCTCTCTCGCTGTCCTAGTTTAAGTAAATATTGATCGAGGTTAATGTTCACAGATGTGAGCACATATTTCTAAATATAATTTAAGCCAGGGAACCACAAACAGTTTGGACACTTTGCAAAATTTGGTGTCGTGAATCTTGCAACTCATGACAAATATAACCTACTGATTTTAAATTTATATAAGTGCTACTCTGATGTTGCAACAATAAGACAATAAAAGCAGTAATTATGTCACGTTACACTTTGTGAACCCTCTGTCTGGGACGACTCACATCAGCCTGCCGATTCTGACAAATAATGACTTAGTCAAGTTTATCATTTGACTAACTGGGAATCCTCATAGACCAGATAGGTTAAGGCTATGATACTCATATTTTCTGTGTTTTTGATGTTGTTTAGGTCAATATGCGCCAGCCGCACTGACCCCACAACAAGGTACCACAGACCAACATCATCACCTTGCTGCACACTTAATTACACTTCCATTTGAAAGGGGGTTTGCATGGTGGACGCATGATCTTCTTTATTTTTCTCAGCTCAAATCCTAATTCAGATAAAGAGCTTAGAGATGATGACATTCATCCAATGTACCAATGTATGTGTCAATAAATTTGTTGCAAAGATTTCTTACATGACAAATGCAGAACTTTATAAAACTCAAGGAGAGAAAACAGCATGGAGCAAACATCTGGTATATAATATAATACTAACACATCAAAAAGTAGCGTATCTATAATAAAGCATTGTTATTTGTTTCTTTTGTCATGTTGCAGCCAAGGCAGCAAAGTACGGTGCGCTGCAGGGCTTCCTTGGCGGAGGAGGAGGCGGAGGAGGCGGAGGCTTCTACAGAGGTGAGTTACAGTCTTTAAACCTCCACAGTTATTAAAACCTCTTGTAAAATGTTTTAAAAGCCTTGAAAGTAGAAAGGTTTGTTGTTGCCACAGCTAAGTCTCACATAGAAATGAAGAAAAATCCGACTTTTCATCTGAGTGCGTAATGAAAATTACTATAAACAATTGTAACCAAAGCATTTTTGGGGGGTCTGTACTTAGACTTTGTAAGTTGATTGGAGCGTCTACCAGGTTTTAATTAGTAATCGAAGACTTTTTCTTTGTTCCTCCTACAAATGGGAAAAACAAGAGAGCATGGCAGTGAGCTATATAAAAAAACTGATCATTTTGATCCTCATGATTTCTTAATGCTGTATTTATTTTCACATTAAAGGTTGGATTTTTCTGCTTTTTTCCATTTTGCAAATGTGATTATTTCAAGGCAATAAAAACACACATAAAAACTGATTGATTATTGTCGAAGCCACTCCTGGTTAATGGTTTAATAACGCAGCTTGATGCGGTGTTCTCTGTAGGTGGCGCTGCAGGATGCCAGGGTAAATACTGTGGGAGGAGGAAGTAGAGGGTCTCCAGATCCAGTGACCTCAAGAAACCATGGTGCTACTGCATGATCTAGAATGTACATTTTATATGCAAACAAAGTCCGATTAGGCAACCTGTATAGATGTTTGTTGTTGCTTACTTGACTTCAATGTCTGTTTTTCTACAAACCCACCGACCCAGAATTTTGTACACGTTCTATTGTGAACATATGTTAAAAAATAGTGCCTTTAGATAATTATGTATGTGCTCCAGTTAATCAACCTAAACTCTTTGTACTCCGTCACAGGAGTTAGAAATGCTTCGTGTCTTCAGTGAGTGTGTGTTTTTATTGCGATGACCTTTGTGTTTTGACCCCTCAAACGAGTGGACGTGTCTCGGCCGTCTGAGCAGGACGCGTCGCCTCTCGGGGAGCGTTGGTTTGGTCAAAGCTCGCCCAAACACGGATCAGATCTGCCCAATCTGCTCCCCGCTCTTCCTCCGCTGCTATTTTTAGCCGTGCTGAGTGTAAAGCGGCAGGAGCCTGCTCGGGCCAACCCATCTGCTCTCTGAGATTTTGCTGATTCTTGTCGCTGTGCAGTGAAATCTTCTCAGCACTTTCTGGTCTTTGAAGAACAGAAAGCTGAACGCAATCGAAATGCCCTTTAATGCTTCACCGGAGAGAAAAGTGGACGTAGATGTCAGGCTGACATGGACTTTATGTGTGGTTGAATGTTGAGTGTGTAGTCTCACTTATTTTTATTTTTTTATTTTTTTTACCTGTTTGGACTCATAGCTTTATTGTTATCAGGAAAGCATAAAACAAGAACAATCTTTGCATTTATCCTCTGTTACTAATTATTATTACAGGCTTTGTTTAATGGGGGAGGATGTGTGTTTATGTGGGGCATAAAAATCCTCTTGATTATTTACTTGAGCTGCTTTTATCAGGCTTTACTGACCAAAGGTTTCTGAGTGCTGTTGCCAATGTGACCGCATCTCTCCATGTGTAACTATGTACTGTATTTTTGACTAATTTTGATGTTAGCTGGCTTCAGTGTCTCTCACCCGGGGCTGCGTGAGAACTGACTTTGAGCCTCGCCAGGTTGGACCATGTCAGATGTGACGTGGGATGCTCTTCATCTTTATTTAAAACTGTTTTCAGAGGGAGGATCTGTGTGGTTTTGCACTTTTTTTTTTTTTTTGTTATGATCTCCACGACACATGCGACTCGATCCAAGACATCCTGGCAATGTCTTTGCTTTAACAGATAACAAAATAAATGTGTTTAAAGAAGTTGTTTCCTTTTTGTTTGCTTGCTTCGCTCATCAAACGTCAGATCAACTCGGTTGATCCGCCTTAGCTTTTTCTAATAAAATTGTTTTGCAGCAGTATTTAGTTGAAACCAAGAGTTTACATACGTTGAATAAAAAACACATTCACCTTCTTATTTCAATGTCTGAAGTTTATTTTAGGTCAACTAGGATTAGCAAAATTATTTTTCTTTGTAAATGCACAATAATGAGAGAATGTGCCACAGATTCATTTATTTTTGTCTTACATGTCTTATATTAATGCCAAATGTGTCAGCTAACATATCAGAGGTTTACAAAGTCAAGACATCATCATCATGGCATGTGAACTTTTTCACATTTTATCACTCCAGGCCCACAAACTTCAACTGAATTTTTGGGACTTTCAAGTACTGCATGAATGGAAAATAATGTTTATATTCATCTCCTTTCATTCTAATACCCCAAATCAAACCTCAACTCCAGAAACCATCTAATTATGTCAAAAAAGTTAAAGGATATGAATAGTTTTGGACGGCACTATGTAGATCCTGTATTTGGTGTCCTAGATGGAGATGATAAAGCCATGCTGCTGTTTCCTGAGGCTCTCCAGGGACAGCCACTGACCCAGGAGTCACATCCTGCAGAAGAAGCTGGCTCTGTTTATATCTGCAGCAGAGTTCCTGTGAAACTGCACAATGTTCACACTGTAGTTGTACGACTGGCAATTTGTGGTGACATAACTGTTAAAATGTTATGTCACAAATGTCAGAAAAGCACAGAATGTCACAAATGTCAGAAAAGCACAGAAATCTTCATTTTAAAAACTGCTACAAGAACTGGAGATTATGGCGAAATGTTGCATAGAAATATTTTGAGGAGAAACACTCTTGTCCTCCATGTTTTCTTCCCATTGGATTACATTCTGGATGATTTTAAGTCATTTACTATAACTGCAGTGGTCTTGGGTGGTGACTTGTGTTAAGCCAATTTAAAAAAAAAAAATCTTTAACAAGTAGACTTTTCAAATCCGAGTCAAAACTTTCCAGTCAAAAAGTGTTTGCTTTTTTTCTTCTTGTCAGAATATGTATAATATGGATACTTTAATCTCTGATATGTGTCTTTCTATGGCAGTCTTTTTTTTTTTTTGCAAACAGATAATAAAGCACTACTTTTATCTTAAGACTAACTCGGGTGAGACACTGCAGGCTGATTACAGTTTTAGTTCTGTTTTTGTATCCTGAACGGTGGTTAGATTATATGTTACAACGGCTTGCCATATATAGATGCCTCTCTTCTTCTTCTTCTCAACAAATCCTGAATTCATTAACTGGGGCGTGTTCCCGGTTGGCCAGCCTCTGTCTTTTCCTCTCCCCGGCTCCTGCCTCTCCATTGGTCGGCGGATGTGTTGAATGAACCGCCGGAGCACAGAGCGAGCAGCAGCGGGCAGGAGGAAGCAGCGTGAGCCGCTGCGGGGATCGACCGACCGAGGCACAGCCGACACCAGCATCGGGGCCCCGGGGGGAGGGGGAGAGAGCGCGCTGCGGTGGAGCCGCTGTCTGTTACCGGTTCTCTGTCGACCAGAGGTTCTCCGGAGGAGACCAGAGGGGAGTGAATGAGGTTGATGCTGCTTTGCTGCACCTGGAAGGACGAACGCATGGGAGAGGAGGAAGGTGAGGAGCGATGAAGGCGCAGCTCTGCTGCCGCGTTTGACATCCGCTGGTCAGATATGGACGTGTCAGCGTCTCATCCAGAGGGAGGCTGATTCTGCAGCCATGTTTTCCTCCGTGAGTCGATGCTTCCGTCATGTTTGTGTGCAGCAGAGACACCAAGCTCACTCTGCATGTGCAACCAGTAAAAAAAAAAAAAAACATGACTGCTTGTGATCCCGGTGAAAAGACGAGTCTCCTGGGTCTAAATGAAACTAACAACTGCTTTTCTAAGTACGTATTTCCATTGGGGTGGGTTAAAAAGAAAAAGAAAGAAATGTAGGGCTTAATATGAGCTTCTTATTTTGGTTGTATGGTAGATTTCCCATCGGTCCCTCTTGCATCAGTGTGTTAGTCCTGTCCTCTCATGTTCTATGAATAGAACAGCATCAGACTTTGCATGCTGTTTGCATTCCCATTAAGACACGAGTTACCAGAGCTTCACCTCTGCAGCTCATGCTGTGAGTGGGAAGATGAGGGTGTGTCTGTTTGCTTTTACCATCTGGTCTTGAGAAATCCAGGAAAGAAAGAATGACTCCTAGATGTTCAACGTCAGAAACCAGTGAGTGTAGCAAACTTGAGGCTCCATTATTGATAATAGTTGATACTTTGCCACAAAGCTCCTCTTTCCTTCACGTGTCAAAGAAATGGACGTCTTCCTAAGTCTCCCGTCTCCTCAGCAGCGAATGCACATATCAACACCTTTAAACCAAATGGGTTTTTTTCTTCCTGAGACCAAACATTTTTCTCATCAGTGAGGAGGAATGGGAGTAGTGAACAGCAGGCCGCTCTTAACACTGAGGTCAGGTTAATGTTTGGACGTGTTGCTTTGTGTTGTGCAGACGGCCAACTCTGAGGAAAACTGTTGTGCAACCTTAAGATCTCAGGTCTTTAATAATACACGAGCCCCCGCATTAATGTTGCTTTATCCTGGATGCAAAGTGGTTCGCTGGACGGGTGACGACTGATAAAGAAACTTTTGGTCGGAAACATTTTAGTCAGAATGGTATCTTACCTTGTCTGATGTTGAGTAACTTGTTAAATCTTTCTCTGTTGAAAATGCTACTTTTTTTTTTTTTACTGGAATCTTCAGGGAATCTCGTTCACTAAAGGTTTTCTAAAAGGTAGCCTCAACGTTGAACATAAAACTTTATGAGAACCAGCAGATGATGCTCTGTGGAGGTTTTCCAGATGTTTCTGAATGTAACATTCAAGAACCACTCCCTAAATCTTTCCTGAAAGTTGCTTTTATAATGTTCCTTACAGGTTAACTTCCCTCTGATTTACAAGATGTGATCTAAAGTCCAATTAGTCACTGAAGGGAAACTAAATTTTTCACAATGTAACCAATGGCGCATGTTGAGGGACGTTCACTAAAAGATAGCTTGATTCATGATGTAATATTCAGAGAGGTTTTCTGGATAATTTCTGAAATCTTCAATGGAGCATAGAGACAACCAGCTTTATGAAAATCTTATGAAATCTTCCCTGCCGGTTCTCTAGAGGTTAGTTTCAAGAATGCAAAGCAAATACTAACTAGTGGTTTCCTACAATTCTCAACATGCAACCTTATAGAGGGTTTTATGTTTAGTCAAGGTTTTCCACAAGTTTCAGAATGTAACCTTCGGAGGGTCCTGCAGGTTCACTGAAACATTATGTGATCTTTGTGGAGCTGTGAGTAAATCTTCTCTAAATGTTCCCCAAATGTTAAACCATAACTGTCAAAATCTAATCTTTTAAAGAACCTTTTTGGACCATTCCCAACGGGATCCCTGAAGGATGAACGCAAAGCTGACAGTGCAGTCAACTTAGAAAAGTTTGCTGTTATTTTCCAGATGTTATGTTTACAACACCTTTAAAATGTGTTGCGTCGAGGTTCAGGGAAACTTTCCTGGAGAGAAACTTCAGAAAACTTTCGAGGTTCCCCTGAAAGTAAGTTTGCAGAATTACAGGGTTTCCTTCTCTAAAGGTCCAGTTTTCAAACTCTAACCTCCTGAGAAGCTCTTGATTGGTTTCGACGACATTTCTGAAGCAACCTTTAGAAAGAAAAAGTGCAGGGAATTTTTCCTAAAGCTTGGCTGAAGGTCCACAGCAACTTTAATTATTTATCTTGCATATTTTTGTTGGAATCACAAGCTTAAATGTTAAAGAAACTGAAACGTCACCACATTATTCCGGGTTCTAACGCTAAATATAAATATTTCATGACCAGTTTACCTAGAAGCCAGACTGGCACCAGAAGCCTGGCTGCTGCGTTCGAACAGCTGATCCAGAAGCCATGTCAGAGCGGTGATGCTTGTTGTGTGCTCAGTTTCTTCCTCTGGTGAACCATAAACCAGCCGGGTCAGTTTGCATGGAGAGCCAGATAAAGAGTCTCGTGCAAACATGGACACAATCGGAGCGTTGTTGGATCTGCCGAGGCCCAAACAAAAGCCTCGCATCCGTGTGGGTTTCATCCTGTTCTCCCACGTGTCTTTGCAGCTGGAGGAAGTTTGCCGGAGTGCGCGGGATGCAAAGAGAGGATCTACGATGAGCAGTACCTCCAGGCCCTCAACGCCGACTGGCACACTGTCTGCTTCAGGTAGAAAACTGACCCCACTTCGTTGCCCACACACAAATGTCGACCAAAGTGTTGTGGTCGCATGCAACCCTTTGGAAATAAAACAACAACACATAAATCATGTTTCGGATTAACGGATCAAATATCCCTGGGTATTTATTTACGCATCCAGCCTAATAATGACTTATTATTAACTATTTTTACTCACTGTTTAGCACTAAAAGCTAACCAGTGAATGAATCCCAGTTTTCACTTATTTCTATCCTGAAGCAAAGGACAAATTCTCCTTGCTGAATAAGCCTGAGAGCCTGAAGTTACAACATATTTATTATAAAAGTCTGGCAGCTAATTAATCAGAGGCTTTGTGATTGTTTGCTCCTCCATCCATTTGTTTGCTGCCCATGGATTTTATGTAATTCAGTAGAAATGCCAAATATTTCTAAGCTTGGGGTTCTGATTTTAGGACCATAAAATCAGAACTTTTGTCCTGAAGCCTGTGTTAATGTTCATAGTTCAGTTTAACAGCAGCTCAAAACCGAACAGTGAAAGTGTCAGCGTCCTGTCCACAGAGTTATTACACCTTAATAGCAGAAGAAGAAGATCTCCTTTATTCTTTAGGAGATCTGTATTTATTTTAATCAATCCAAAGATGAACTTTGCAATTTGAAAAAGAAAGGAAATGAATAAATAAAAAGAAGAACTCGGAGGTGAATTCCTCTCCTTGGATCCGACGGG